CTCAACATTTAGTTCCTCCTGTCACGTAACCCTGCTTCTATTGTTTGCTCTTCACATTTTTAAGCTGCTTAAGATAACAGCGTCCACTAAATCATTAAATGTTAACACACATCTGAACGTCAACTATTTGTTTGCTTCCTTGACTTGAATTTCCCATGTTTATTGAACTAAATTGGTGGCTCAGTGGTTAGCACTGTCGCCTCACAGCTAGAAAGTCGCTGTTTCGAGTCCTGGCTGGGCCAGTTGGCGCTTATCTGTGGAGTTTGCATGTTCTCCTCGTGTTGGCGTGTGTTTCCTCCGGGTGCTCTGGCCAAACACATGCACTAGAGGGGAATTAGGTAAACTAAATTGGCAGTAGTGTATGAGTGTGTGTGTGAATGAGTGTGTATAGGTGTTTCCCATTACTGGGTTGGAGCTGAAAGGGCATCCGCTGTTTAAAACCTATGCTAGAAAAGTTGACAGTTCATTCTGCTGTGGCGACTTTTGAAATGTAGACTAAGCTGAAGGAATAAAACTGAGTTTACAACATTAACTCTTCTGAATGTACTGTACAGTAAATGGGTTTGTAAGGACAGGGTGTCCGCGGGGTCTTAAGCAGTATTAAAACATTGATAAATCAATTTATAGAAGTTTAAGGCCTTTAAAAAGTCATAAATGCTATCATTTTTTATTAAACAATGTATAGTTGTACGCTAAAGTTTGCCTGAATTTAATCTGCGGATATTGGGATGCTGTGTAGTTTATGAAATCGGTAAAACCCTGTTAGGTTTGACATCACGTTGTTTTGTTTACTGCCAAGGTAACACCGTTATTATTCCCACTGTTCTATTGGCGCCACCTGCTGAATTAGCATTATAATTCAGTATACAGCCCCTTTCACACAGTGATACCGGTAAATATCTGAAAAATTTCCGGAACGACTTTACCGGTATTTTCAAAAAAGCGCTGTTCACACAGGCGAGGACGTTATGGAAATTTTCCGGAAAAGAGCATTCACACATCCATTCCAAAATACCGGTAAATTCTGACATCATTCACCACAAATGAGCTTTAAACGGCTGCGCTTGTGTTTGTAAACATTTGACTAAATTACAAACTCTGTGGATGATCAATATTGTGAACAACTTTCGCAGGATCACTTTCGCATGTCGAGATGTTCATAATATGTGCGTGTGCAGGCGCTCACAGGCTGTTTTACAGGCGCACGCAAAGCTTGAAGGTAAACAAACAACGGCTTATCATAAGCATCTCATCGATGATTATTTACACAGTTGGCATTAAGAAGAACATATAAACGTGATCTGACTAACTTCTAGCAGCTAAATGTGTCTGGAAAAATATTCAAATGCTTTTATCCTCACAAACCGCGCGGACGTAAATGCGTCTGACTGTTGTGATTGGCTAAAGCAGACGTCTCACGTCAGCACGTTCTAGACGTGCACGCGCTTATTACGGGAATCTTCCTTCTGCATTCACACAGCGCAGCATTCCGGCAAATTACCGGTAATGTTACAACTTCTCTTTCCGGAAAATAGCCAGAACGAATTTACCGGTATTTTCAAAAAGGACCTGTTCACACATACAGACCTTTCCGGAAAATTGCCGGCAATTTTCCGGAAAGGTCTGTATGTGTGAAAGGGGCTAATGAATAATGTTTTGTTTTACAGTTTAATGTCTTACAATCAGTATTTAGTACGTTGAAGTGGTGATGAGGTTTTAATATGTGTGGAAAGGGTCTTTAAAAGGGTGTTAATTAACTCTTCTGTGTGGTTGGGGATGTTTTCATCCACTCTGAGGTGATTTTAAGTGTTAATTTGGCCACAACTTTCTCTGTGTTTCAGCGAATGGGACGATTTGTGGTGATTAATCCTATTTTGACACATATTTTTGGAAAATGCTTTGAATATTTTTCAAAAACTCCACAACACACTCTGGACAAATTGACTTCTTTTTCATTATGTTGAGGGCTGTTTTTGCCCCATTGACTTCCATTATCACATTTCTTGATTGCAAAGCCATGACAGCATTTAATTTGATGACAGCATTGCTGGTTTTCCCCGTTTAAAAGAGTAAGCATAGTAAGTATATTAATGCAAACAAGCTGTTATTGGTTGTTATACTCTCATAGAACTCCATATAAAAACCTGAAACTTTTTAGCACAGGCCTGTCTAAAGCTGTAACTGCAAAAATGACAAATCTAACCTCTTCCCAATAGGGAAAACCAGCAAAAATCAAGAATGCATGATTATATGCTGTCATGGATTTGCAATTAAATAATGTGATTACAATGGGGCAAAAACAGCCCCCAGCATAACCAAAGGGTAGTCAATCTGAACAATACACAATGGATAAAATGTGTTGAATTTCATTTTGGCGCCACCTGCTGGATTAGAATATTAATTCAGTATATGAATAATGTTTTAGATTACATTTTAATGTCCTACAATTAGTATTTAGTAAGTTAAAATATCACCAATGAAACCTAAAGTGGCGATGAGGTTTTAAAATGTGTGAAAGGAGTCTTAAAAATTATCTTAATTAACCATTGTGTGCTGTTTTGGGATGTTTTCATCCACTCTGAGGTGATTTTAAGTCTTAATTTGGCAACAACTTTCTCTGTGTTTCAGCGAATGGGATGATGTTTGTTGACTAATCTTATTTTGATGCATATTTTGGCAAAATGCTTTAAAAATTGTTCAAAAATACACTCTAAACTGCAAATTGACTAGCTTTTTGTTATATTCGGGTCTGTTTTTACCCCACTGACGTCCATTATAATGACATTTTTTTTATTGCAAAGCCATGACAGCAAATAATCATGCTTTATTAGTTGATGCTAGATTCCCTGTTGGGAAGAGCAAGAGTAAGCATAGTATTGTTAATGCACACTAGCTATTATTGGTTGTTATACTCTATAGAACTCCATATAAAAGCCTGAAACATTTTTGCACAGGCCTACCTAAAAAGTTAATGCTACCTGTAACTGATGATCAACAGCAAAAATGTTTTTCCCAACAAAGAAAACCACCAGCAATCAAGAATGCATGATTATGCGGTCATGGCTTTGCAATTAATTAATGTCATTATAAGTGAAGTCAATGGGGCAAAAACAGCCCCCAACATAACCAAAGGGTAGTCAATCTGAACAGTACACAAGGGTTAAAATGTCTTCGATTTTACTCTGATTCCTATTAATACCCTGAATGATTTAAATTTGATAGTTTTCATAATTGTTTTGACTTTTAATATCTAATATTAAAATCTCTAATATTAAAATATATCCATCTCCACAGGTGTCAGAAAGAAGGCCAGCTTCATTACTCCAGTTCCCGGCGGCGTTGGCCCCATGACTGTTGCCATGCTGATGAAAAACACAATCATAGCTGCAAAAAATATGATTTTAACTCCACCTCAGAGAGTTCGAATGGCAGCGTCTTCATAACATCAGCGTCCTCTTCATTTCACTCCACATTCCACACTCCTCAGCTTCATTTTGAGGATCTCCAAGTGGAAAAACGACATCTTTTAATGCTATTTGATTTGCGTCCCATCATGACCTACTGATAAATATTCAAAGGCTTAAGGAAATGACATGCAATACAGTTAAATGGAAAGTTATTCGCCCTCCTGTGAATTTTCAAAAAATATCTACCGTTAAATAGAGCAAGAAATTTTTGACAGTATTTCCTTTAATATTTTTTCTTCTGGAGAAAGTCTTATTTGTTTTATTTTGGCTAGTTTAAAAAAATGTAAAGCCATTTTAAGGTCAATATTATAAGAAATCTTTTTAGATTGGCTCCAGAACAAACCACTGTTATCCAATGACTTTCCTAATTAACATAACCTGCATAATTAACCATTTAAATTGCAATTAAAGGTAAATACTATTATATTTCAAAATAACTGTGCACTGTCATCATGGCGTATTAGTTATTAAAATTATTATGTGTTGAAATTTCACAGGAGCGCTAATAATTTTGACTGCAGCTATACATTATTTAGTATATATATATATTTTTTTTTTTTCAGTTACATTGCCAAGCATTAGACAGGTTTGTTTTTGTTTTTACACTGTTACAGCTTTGCTTTTTACTTCTCTTAAGCTTTTTACAAGTTTAAATATTGAAATAGCATTATTTACAGATGTTTTGGTGCATATTTATTAAGAAGAAACACAGTTTTTAGACGGTGTTGATGCAGCTTTAGGTTCCCGCAGCACTGATTGTTGAATCCCCACTGATATGAATGTGTGGATTGAGTCACACGGTCAATAGTGTTGAGTCGGCACGCCAGATTACTGACCAAATGACCTTTGCAACAACCGTTTATTTGCCTATAGGGAATATTTCTGACCCATCACTGCTTTTTATTTTATTTATTCCACCCTTATCTGGGCTTCGAAGGGTGCAAAGAGTGATGATGATAATGGAGCAGTGCTTAGGAAAGATTTGAACTATATATTTTGTCGGATTTTGATGAATTTAGTTTTTGTTGCATGTTCCTGTGACATGCGACACGTCTTATTTGTTTTGCATACTAACATGTAATGCCTTTAAAACATTGCAATAAATGTTTCAGATGTTTTATTTGATGCAATTCAGGAATTTGTGTGGTTTTACTTTATTTATATACTGAATTTGTTGATATTATTCATGTAGTTCATGAAGCTAGGTGGACAGAACCTGAATAAATACCTTTGATTAAATGTCATACAAAAATATAAATGTACATTTAAAGTTACTTTTAAATTAAAAAAAAAAAAAAAAAAAATATATATATATATATATATATATATATAAATTAAGGGCTTTCCCACAGAAATCGTCGACTGATAAAATGTATCAATTGAATAGTGTAAGTGACTTAAGGTAGATGTGTGATTGTAAAGCATAAATGTTATGCATATATAACACTTTAAAACAGTCATTCTTTCGCATTTAAACTTCGCTCAGGGTCTTTAATTTTGAAATCTTGACGAAAACGGACTTCCGGTAAGTATTATTGTTGTGAGCCGGGACTGCAGAGTGCAAAAGTGCAGCTTTCTTCACATTTAAATGTCCTAGAGATCATAAATAAAACGCCGTGAACTTCTAAACAAGTAAGTATTATTGTGCATTATTTTTGGGTCACTAAATAAAGACGAAGCACGCACATACATCATTAGTTTTCACATTAGTAGAGACGCAGCGTGTAACACTGCTATTAGCCTTCATTATCACGGGCTTTCTCACACGAGCTAAACAGGCACGTTATTTATTGTTAACTCAATTAATTAGACCCATATATAAATACGATATATGACAATATATGCAAATTACATATATGACATAAAGGTTAATGTATGGATTTCACACATAAAAACTACTGTTATGTCATATATATTTAAAATATTGCTGGAATATATATGTAATTATTAAAAATAATTACATGTACATATATTACATATATATATATATATATATATATATATATATATATATATATATATATATAAATTTGCAACTTAATGATTTTATTAACTTAGAGTCTTGCATTTTGTGCAAGATAATCCTGTTTTAAGTTCCGCCTGAAGTAAAAATGTATAATGTTTATTTTGCTAGCTCACATAGCTATTCTTAAAGTGAATAATTTATTTGTGCAATCAGAGGTGGATATGCACTGTGTATGTGTACACTACCTGACAAAAATCCCAGTTTTAGGAGCAACAAATAATAACTTGACTTCTAGTTGATAATTCAGAAAAATGGTAGAAGGTGGATTTCTCTGCTGAATTGTCTGTTTATCTGCATCCTAATCATCACAAATACTGCAGAAGACCTACTGGAACCAGCATGTACCCAATATTCTTAGTGAAATTAGTCAAGTTTGGTGAAGTAGAAATAATGGTTTGGGGTTACATTCAGTATGGGGGCGTGCGAGAGATCTGCAGAGTGGATGATCAACATCAACAGCCTGAGGTATCAAGACATTCGTGCTGCCCATTACATTACAAACCACAGGAGAGGGACAATTCTCCAGCAGGATAGCGCTCCTGCTCATACCTCAGCCTCCACATAAAAGCTCCTGAAGGTCAAGGTGCTCTAGGATTGGCCAGCCCAGTCACCACACATGAACATTATTGAGCATGTCTGGGGTAAGATGAAGGAGGAGGTGTTGAAGATGAATCCAAAGAGTCTTGATGAACTCTGGGAGTCCTGCAAGACTTTCTTTGCAGTTCCAGATGACTTTATTAATCATTGGTTTGAGTCATGTCAGAGATGTATGGATGCAGTCCTCCAAGCTCATGATGGAGTCAGACACAATATTCATTCTGTCTCCACTGCAGCAGGACTTTATATTCTATACTGGACATTATTTCTGTTCAGTGACCAGACTTTAGTCTAAGCAGAGTCAGACCTTACTGTCCTAATCAAATAATTAAGGCATGATCATATTTTATTGTGGTCAAATAAGTGTAATCTAGAGGCCTTTACCTTTCATATAAGCCACTTCTGATACCAAATGATCAACTAGAGGTCAACTTATTACTTGGCGTTCCTAAAACTTGGAAAAGCGACAAGACTTTTGTCAGGTAGTGTATGTATGTATGTATTCTATCACTCATATCTTATATATCAAAATAGCTAAAATTGTAAATAAAATGTTTAGTTTTTAAAACTAGGCATTTATTAGGGTCTCCAAAGTTTGCTGGGGCCCTAATTAATTGCTCACTTCGCAAATTGCTTAAATCCGACCCTGCGTGCAAGTTAAACCACTGAAAAAATGTGTGTTTTGATAATCTTCAATGAAAGTCTGCCCATATACATTGACTATGTTTGGAGTGGCGGTCCTTCTGAGGGTTTCCATAGCAACTGCATATTAATATCCTCTCTTACCCTTATCAAAGAGCATAGAATCACCAAGAGGCGACACTCTAATGCAATTTGGGAAACAGCCACTAGAGGGCGCAGTGGCCATTTTGGAACGAAAGCTCCAATAGAACAGCAGCATATTATAAGTCTGTAAAATAAGCAATTAAAAGTGCTGATGATTGTGATAGTAAGTGCTGTATTGTCGTCTTTAAGGCTGTATCTTCAGCTTTTTAAATAAATAAATAAAAAACAAAGCAGCTGCTTGCCATCGCGACAGCAATAAGATCCAATGGACAGCCGACCGCTTTCACTCCAAATTGGCGGAATCCGAGGCTGTTGCTGGGCGCTGGAACGTTCTATTGAGTGTCGCCTCTTGGTCATTCTAAGCTCAATGTCGTTAGTTTGCTACGAGGGAATGATGCGTTAAAGAATGACCTGTTCCTCCTTAATAATCACTCACATTGGTTAGTAGTACATCAACATACTCAAATAAAAGTCTCTAACATCCGGTTCATTCAGAAACAGAAGACTTAATTTTATTTATTTATATATATTTCTATTGGTTATAATTTGTATAATACAATTGATGTGCTAATTTTTGTGCTTGTTTAAAACTGTTATTATATATATATATATATATATATATATATATAGAAACATGATTCACACTTTTGTCTATTTCTCAATCAGATATTCCTCAATGGGAGGGAGCGATTCTGACAGCAGATCCAGGAGCAGAAACAGAGAAGAAAACAAATCCCGCAGTTTATCATCCTCGAGCGCCAGGAGACCCAGTCCAAACCATGAGAAGAAACATGAGCATTCATCTGGTGAGAGAAAATGTGCATTCGGGAGTGTTTATTGACGACTGTGATCATGCTAGTTTACCCCAAGACCTGATAACCAAATTACTATTTAATGGAGACCTATATGCCAATTTTTACAAGAGGTAAAACAGGTCTCTGATGTCCCTAGAGTGTGTGTGTGAAGTTTTATCTTAATAACTGACCCTTTTAGGCTTTGATCCTAATTGTGTTGTTTTGGTGACTGTCACTTTAAATTCAAATGAGATTGTGCTCTTTTCAGAAGAGGGCGGAGCTACAAATGCCTGTGTGTCAGCATAGTGCATGGGTCACCAATCTCGTTCCTGGAGGTCCGGTGCCCTGCAGGGTTTAGCTCCAACTTGCCTCAACACACCTGCCTGGGTGTTTCAAGTATATTTAGTAATACCTTGATTAGCTTGTTCAGTTGTGGTTGATTTGGGTTGGAGCTAAAATCTGCAGGACACCGGCCCTCCAGGAACAAGTTTGGTGACCACTGGCGTAGTGGCAGATTTAAAACGCTAAAGACAGACGGCTGCTTCTCACTTAGGGCTGTTGATGCTGATGAGGGACAGATGGTCACTAGTGGGTGGGGCTTTCCCCCTCTGAAGACCGGTTTCTAACATTCTTCAGAATATCTTCTTTTGTGTTTAACAGAATTACTTTTTTTGCTTACTATTTGGGTTAATGGTTACCGGTTTTCAGCATTCTTCAAAATATCTTCTTTTGTGTTCAGCAGAATAAGACTTTTTTCCTGCCATGGGAGTCGATGGTTACAGGTTTCCAACATCTTTTAGACAATCTTTTATGTTCAGCAGAATAAGACTTATTTTTTCCTACTATAGGAGTTAATGGTTACCGGTTTTCAGCATTCTTCAAAATATCTTTTGTGTTCAACAGAATAAACCTTTTTTCATACTATGGGAGTCAATGGTTACCAGTTTCCAACATTCTTCAGAATATCTTCTTTTGTGTTCAACTGATCAAGACTTTTCCTGCCATGGGAGTCAATGGTTACCGTTTTTCAGCATTCTTCAAAATATCTTATTTTGTGTTCAACAGAATAAATCTTTTTTTTCATACTATGGGAGTCAATAGTTACTGTTCTTTAGCATTCTTCAAAATATCTTCTTTTGTGTTCAGAAGAATAAGACTTGTTTCCTACTACGAGAATCAGTGGTTACCGGTTTCCAACATTCATTAAAATATCTTCTCTTGTGTTCAACAAAATAAGACTTTTTTTCCTACTATGAAAGTCAATGGTTACCGGTTTTCAGCATTCTTTAAAACATATATTCTTTTGTTTTCAACAGAATAAACCTTTTTTCATACCATGGGAGTCAGTGGTTACCGGTTTTTTAACATTCTTCAGAATTTCTTCTTTTGTGTTCAGTAGAATAAGACTTGTTTCCTACTATGGGAATAAATGGTTACCGGTTTCCACCATTTTTCAAAATATTTTCTCATGTGTTCAACAAAATAATAGGTTTTTTCCTACTATGAAAATCAATGGTTACCGGTTCTCCGCCTTCTTCAGAATATCTTTTTTTTGTTTTCAACAGAACACTTATTTTCATACTATGGGAGTCAATGGTTACCGGTTTTCAGCATTCTTCAAAATCCCACAATATGCCTTTATAAATGATGTGTAAATTCTGACAATCAGTTTTTTGGTTGAACTATCTGTCACTATGTGTCATTTGTGTCATGTATGTCAAAATGAAACATATCATCCATCTTCTGATCCCAAATTAGAGAAGAAAAAGATGAAGAGAAGAAGATCCTCCAGTTCTTCGTCTTTAAGCTCTCCTTCACCATCCAGAGAGAAGAAGTCCAAGAAGAAGAAGAAGCGGCGAGAAGCGAAGAAACTCAAGCGCGAGAAGAAAAAGGAGAAGAAGGAGAAGAAGCGTCAGAAGAAGCTGGCGCTGAAAGCGGAGCGAGCAGCAGCGCTGACGGCTTCAGTTCCTGCTCCAGTTCCTGAAGAAAAGCCTCAAACATACCTGAAGACCTGGCAGAGCGAAGAAACTAAAGAGCACGGCCCTGGTATGAACACATCTCCATATTTCACACACAATTACAAGTATCTAGAAAAGACCAATTAAAAAGGGTAACACTTTACAATGAGGTTGTATTAAAGGAGATCTGTTATGCTCCTTTTTACAAGATGTAAAATAAGTCCCTAGAATGTGAAGATTCAGCTTAAAATAATGTTTTATAACTCTGAAACTGATCCTTCAAGGCTTTGATCATAATTGCCATTTTGGTGACTGTCACTTGTAGGGGATCAACCTACGTTTTAATATCGATCAGGGGTTTATTAGCACATTTCAATGAATCGGATCCTGAAGATTTGAATCATTGATTTGACTCAACTGAGTCAGATTGAATCAGATTAAATGATTCACACTTTATCTACCATTTGTCCTGCAAATAGAAGACATCGTTTCTTACCAACCTTGTTAATATTATTTACGTGGCCAACGATAATAACATAACACAGTATTGGGTTAACTTTTAGCAAGGTAACAAAATCTACAGCTCGAGGCAATGACTTAGAAGCACATAAACAAGAGCACAGTTCTTACAAAAGGAGAACAAAGATTTATTGAGCTACACTACGATACATGAAACTAACTACGTAAAAAGCTAACAACAAACAAACGCACACACACACACACACACACAGAGGCAGTTCAGAGGATGCGAAATGAGTTGACAACGTCCCAAATTAATTCTAATACTTCTTGCAAGATCTTAGAATAACACCTGAGAAACCACAAAAGCAGAGATATGGCTTATCTTTAACTGCTTACGATTAATCTGCACCAATCAGCTAGAGACAACATTAGTTTGTGTTACTTGCGCCCTTTTTGCTGAAGTCGAATCTCCCTCGCCGACTGGCCTTAGGGAAACACGGTGCTCCTGATTGGGTGGTTTCTCGCTTCAATGAAGTCTTTGGGATTCACACGCTCGTGAATGGCTGTTGTCCTGGGTTACCGTGGTGACGGAGGAGGTGGATGGGTCTCCTGAAAGTTCTCCTTTGTTGTCGACAATAAAGTATATTCTTCTGATATTCATAACCTCCAGACTGAGTTTGATTGAGTAGGAGAAAAACCAAGAAAACCACTACATGGACTGCTGAGAGTCGGTTTGCGGAAGTTCGTGCAGTTTCGGCGGTCCCGAAACTTTGCATGGAAGTTCGTGGTGACTCAATCGCGTGGCGGCGCGGTGTCCGGGCAGGCGAAAGGGGGCAGAGAGCAAAAGCATGCGCAAGCTAGCTGATGCAAAAAGCAAAGTTTCTTTGTCGCAGGGCGTTTTTAAGTGACCTGGGGCCTCATGTACGAAGACTTCCCTGCTGAAAAATCCAGCTTAAACCAGCCTAGGCTGGTTGGGTGGTTTTAGCTGGTCGACCAAGCTGGTTTTAGAGGGGTTTTGACCACTTCCAGGCTGGTTTCCAGCCATTTCCAGCCTGGTCTTAGCTGGTCAGGCTGGAAGATGACCAGTTAAAACCAGCTTGACCAGCCTAGCCAAGCTGGGAGTCCAGCCAAAACCAGCTATATCCAGCTTAAACCAGGCTGGTTTTAGCTGGATTTGGCTGGTAATTTTCCAGCCTGACCAGCAAAGACCAGGCTGGAAATGGCTGAAAACCATCCTGGAAGTGGCCAAAACCCCTCTAAAACCAGCCTGGTAGACCAGCTAAAACCAGCCAACCAGCCTAGGCTGGTTTAAGCTGGATTTTTCAGCAAGGTTGCATGGAAATCATACTAAAACATTGTGTACGCACAAAGCTGTAAATGTGCGTACTCAGAAAAAAATTCAGATGTATGATGTATGCCGAATCTCACGCATATTCTTTTGTACATCTGAATGAACGTGAAACTGAGCGCAACATGCACGAGCACAAAACCCCTCCCTGCCTCCTCCCCCGTATGAATATGCTAATGACTCTACTTTGGCAAAACCCAACGAAAAAGCAACGGCAAAAGCAAGCAAAAAGAGAAACTTTGAACAGAATGTGAATTATAGGTGCTGTTTACAGAGATAGACCGGAGGAAAACTGTGTTATTTGCGAGTTTGTTCTCCGGAATTAATAACAAAAGACAAAAATAGAGTGGGAGAGTTTAGCTGATCCGGTTAACACCGTTGGGTCTGAACATCGCACTGAGTGAATTAGAAAAGAAATAGTGTGATTTTTAGGTGTAAAATGTTGCAGTATGCTTAACAGTCTCAGTGGTGCAGCTCGTAAAACGCATGTCAACATGTTTTGACACGTTCGAGCATGAACTCGGTTCGAATCCAGCCTCTTATGAACTCTTTCTTCTTTTTTCCCCCACTACATATCAGATTTTGCCAACTATTTATCACGAGAAAGACAAGTAGAAATCATTAATAAGTCTGTGCATCATATTTTATTTGCACATTTATTGAATGGAAATGTTTCTGATTCACGCATGCAAATTCATCTTCAGATAGTGACTTTATAGCAATGTGCGTGCGGTAGATAGCTCAGATTACATTGGGAAAACAGGCGACCGCTGCAAATTGTGCTTTAATGTTTGGCTGGTCAACTGTATGGTATGGAAACCTTATATACCTGCTAGATGAACCCGTCTCATACAGCTGCCATTGCAAGGCTCAGACACTTTGTAGAGAGGAATTTAACCCAATGGAAATAAAACAGACACGCACAAAAAAATGTGCGTACGCCAGCCAGAAAGCTGCTCTGGAGCTGCGCACATTCCCACGTTCAGTTCCTTGTTAGTAAATCCAAACGTGAGCGATTCTGAGCGTGAAACCTGCCGTACGCAAGTTTTTGTGCGTACGCAGCGTTGATACATGAGGCCCCAGGTCTGGTTCGTCCCCATGGCACTGTCTGCCAATGAGCATTAGCCATGAAGGGCGGGGCCACGCCCCGTACTGATGTAGGAAAGGTCAATAATTAACACTGCATGTAGATTTCACGTGGTAAAACTCTTGCAAGGAAGAAACTATCTTACATCAAATGTTTCAAGAAGAATACCTTTTGCACTACTAGTTTTTCATTTACACCAACGTATTGCAAATGTCACTAGCTTTCATTCAATACCAGACATCATACATCTCAGACACATACAGATCATTTTACTCTGTCATAAGGGTTAAAACAACACATTGATTAGCCTAGTTGATTGGAATAAACAGCATATGAGGAACATTATGGCATATTATGCAAAGATACATCTGCCTTAGTTCTAACATTAAGAGATTGTCTTTTATTCATATGCATTAATGTTTCTAGAGATCTCTTTGTCTCTACGAAATTGTGCATCTAGCAGGATGTGCCCAAGGCGAGCACATGACCAGGAGTGATTTAAAAGTCTCGTAAAACGGTTTCCGCTGAAGATCCTGTAAGGGCCATTGTTTTTAATTTAACTGATTTAATAGCCGAAGGGTACCAGAACATCTGCAGAGAAGTACTGGTCAGAGGAGCCCGAAATCAATTGGCGCTCTGTTATCCTGATGGTATAAGCCCTCAAGCTAGTTCGATGAATGAGACCATTGGAGATGCCCAAGATTTCAGATTCAACTTGTGTTGACCACTGTAATATGTCGATGAGTTCCTACACACTTTAAATACAAATAAGACTGTGCTCTTTTCAAAAGAGGGCGGAGCTACACCGCAGGTTTAAAAATAAGACTAATGTCCTATGCTAATGAGGGAGAAAATAAGATGATGTTTCTTTTATATGTAGCCATGACTGATGAACAGAAGGCCAAACTCAGCACCAGGAGGCCGCTGACGAAGGAGGAATACGAGGCCAGACAGAGCGTCATCCGCCGAGTGCTGGACCCAGAGACAGGCCGCACCAGGTGTGTGAAATTTCAAGCACAATAATGATACACTTGGTGTGTTTGTGTGTGTGTGTGTATATATATATATATATATTTATATGATATGCAATATCACACTCGTAACAGTGCGATATGGCTGTATATTGGCACTGGTTGGAGGCACGGATTCGTGCCTTAGTGCCCCCACCAGTGCCGATTTACAGCCATATCGCACTGTTACGAGTGTGATATTGCGTTTATACAACAGTTTGACGGCATAATTGTGTATATAAAAACAAAATCAAACATAGAGAGTCTCATAAACCCTTTGGTATGAGGAACTACTTTCTTCTGGATTCAAATCATAAGCTGACAGTTAAACAGTTGAGCATCTTTTACACTTTAGATCTGTAATGTCTGCTTTTTGTTGGCTGTATGTGGGCGGAGTAATACACAAAGGGTAAAGAGGCTGTACAGGTGCTGATATTACTTAAATACTTAAATATATCACAGCTATCAGCCAATCAGATTCGAGAACCAGACAGAACTGTTGTGTATGTGTATATATATATATATATATATATATATATATATATATATATATATATATATATATATATATTTATTTATTTGTGTCCATACAGACAAACATTGGGCCCTTTTCAATAGACATTTATGACGTGTTAATTCAGTAGGGATCCTCTAATCAGAATTTTTGCAGCTGATACTGAGTACCGATTCCATGTTAATCGGCCGATACTGAGCACCGATTCTGATGCTTCAGGCTTTATAATTTCATTCACTCTTGTCGGCTATTTTCACTAATTTGTAGCCGTCACAGAGCCTGTATGGATATGCGGGAGACAATCAAAGCTTCTGACAGGGGTCATACTGTTGAATGAGACACTACCCTGCTGAAAAATCCAGCTTAAACCAGCCTTGGCTGGTTGGCTGGTTTTAGCTAGTCGACCAGGCTGGTTTTAGAGGGCTTTTGGCCACTTCCAGGCTGGTTTCCAGCCATTCCCAATCTGGCCTTATCTGGTCAGGCTGGGAGATGACCAGCTAAAACCAGCTTGATCAGCCTAGCAAAGCTGGGAGTCCAGCCAAAACCAGCTATATCCAGCTTAAACCAGGCTGGTCAAGCTGGTTTTAGCTGGATTTGGCTGGTCATTTTCCAGCTAAGACCAGGCTGGGAATGGCTGGAAACCAGCCTGGAAATGGCCAAAACCCCTCTAAAACCAGGCTGGTCAACCAGCTAAAACCAGCCAACGAGCCTAGGCTGGTTTAAGCTGGAATTTTCAGCAGGGTAGATAGCGGCGATCGCTCTGCTTATGTCACAGCAGCTCCAAACACCGGATATACAATGGCTGCAACCGAGAGACCATCACTCGCGCACCAATAAACTGTATAAACAGAGGTTGCACTGCATCTCTATGTATTTTAGCTGCTGTGACACGAGCGCAGTGATCGATCATGCCCCCACACATCATTTATCTACTCACATGTTGTAGCAACTATGGAAATCAGATTTCTCAACGTTCTTTAGAATATCTTCTTTTGTGTTTAACAGGAAAAGACTTTTTTCCTATCATGGGAGTCAATGGTTACCGGTTTTCAGCATTCTTCAAAATATCTTCGTTTGTGTTCAACAGAATAAGTCTTTTTTTTTCCTATCATAGGAGTCAATGGTTACCGTTTTTTAGCATTCTTCACAATATCTATATTTTTGTTCAACATAATAAGACTTTTTTTCCTATCATGGGAGCCAGTGGTTTCTGGTTTTCGACATTTTTCAAAATATCTTCTTTTGTGTTCCACAGAATAATTTTTTTCCTACCATGGGAGTCAATGGTTACTGGTTTTCACTTACATCAAAACATCTTATTTTGTGTTTAACAGAATAAAACTTTTTTTTCCTATCATGGGAGTCAATGGTTACCGGTTTTCAGCATTCTTCAAAATATCTTTGTTTGTGTTCAACAGAATAAGACTTTTTTTCTTATCATGGGAGTCAATGGTTACCGGTTTTCACCTACTTCAAAACATCTTCTTTTGTGTTCAACAGAATAAGACTTTTTTTTTACCTACTATGGGAGTCAATGGAAACCGGTTTTCAGCATTCTTCAAAATATCTTCGTTTGTGTTCAACAGAATAAGACTTTATTTTCATATCATGGGAGTCAATGGGTACCAGTATTCAGCATTCTTCAAAATGCTGTATGTATAACCCAGGATGTATGTTTTATGTGCGTCTTCCTCTGCTTGTAAACTCATGAACAAACACTTGCGATCGGTTCCTGAGATCGGCCAGATCAGTAAGTACCGATTGAGTCATTATTGAGTAATTAACGGACCGATACTGATCTGTGGCCGATTGATTGGAGCATCCCTAGTCATCAGATTCTAAATCCTTGAAAGTTTTTAATATTTACATTTTAGATGGGAAAAATTGTTCTGAAAGTGATCTCAATGATATCGTTATGCAGTTGTGGTGTGAACTTTGCTTTTCTTTAACACTGTGAACCATTATTAGAGCTAAATCTTTATCCTTATTTGTATAGTTATCATGCCTACATCCTCAAGACTGTAAATCATTCCTCTCGATCTTTACACAGGCTTATAAGAGGCGATGGGGAGATTTTAGAAGAAATCGTCAGCAAGGAGCGACACAAAGACATCAACAAGGTGCAAATCTCTTTTATATTTGACAACAAAAACGTGTTTGCAGACCGAAATCCTCTTAATAACAAGTCAAACTCAGTTCAATTCAATTCATCTTTATTGATATAGCACTTTCACAATGTACTGTAGATCGTGTCAAAGCAGCTTAACATAGGATTTCAGTGGTTACTGTAGGTCAAACTATGCATCCAATCTGATGTTATTAATGTGTCTTAGATGTGTGTGTGTTTCTGGATTAATATATTTAGTGATATGATGGGAATAGTTTTGGCTTCCCTGCTGTAAAATCCAGCTTAAACCAGCCTAGGATGGTTGGCGGGTTTTAGCTGGTTGACCAGCCTATTTTTAGAGTGGGATTTGCCACTTCCAGGCTGGTTTCCAGCCATTTCCAGCCTGGTCTTAGCTGATCAGGCTGGAAGATGACCAGCTAAAACCAGCTTGACCAGCCAAAACCAGCTTGACCAGCCAAAACCAGCTATGTCTAGCTTAAACCAGGCTGGTCAAGTTAGTTTTAGCTGGTCATCTTTCAGGCTGATCAGCTAAGAACAGGCTGAAAATGGCTGGAAACCAGCCTGGAAGTGGCCAAAACCCCTTTAAATACAGACTGGTTGACCAGCTAAAACCTGCTAACCATCCTAAGCTGGTTTAAGCTGGATTTTTCTGCAGGGAAGCCCAAACCAGCTTGACCATCAAGGTTTAAGCTTGACATAGCTGGTTTTGGCTGGGCTCCCCGTCTGGCTAGGCTGGTCAAGCTGGTTTTAGCTGGTCATCTCCCAGCCTGCCCAGTTGAAACCAGCCTGGCAATGGCTAAACCCCCTCTAAAACCAGTCTGGTCGACCAGCTAAAACCAGCCAACCATCCTAGGCTGGTTTAAGCTGGATTTTTCAGCAGGGTTCTTCTACATAAATTCATCTTATGTAATAAAGGTGTTGAACACACCTTCTCTCACACTCTGGTCTTCTTCTTCCAATCACCTCACTGTTCCCTCTGTCCGCCTTGTCACCATTACCTTCAAGCACTCTGCTCCTCAGGAGGAAGTGAATTCCAAAGCTGATCTCCGTAATTTAGACTCTTTCTCATTTTAAATTCAAACTCAAAACACATATGTTTAGAACAGCTTATTCTCTTTAACTCAACAGCATTTTTAAAGTTTGTATTGTATTCTATTGACTATTATTGTGTTTTTATTTGAGTTGATTGTTCTAGCTGTCCTGTACGGTGACCTTGAGTGTCATGAAAGGCGCCTTTAAGTAAAATGCATTATTGTTATTATGAAGTCTCTATCAGAATGATTCATAATAGCCTCCCAGTAAATTACAAACTTGCTAAATTAATAATAGTATTTTTCTGAAATGCTTTTGTACAGTCATTTATTTTGGTAATGTACTTATTCTAAACATACTTCAGTTTGACTTATTCAGTTTTGTAAATGTAAGAAACTTATCAATTTAAATCATTTACTTATAAATAAAAAAACTTGGTTACTCTTTAAATCTAGACCTTCTCGCTATAAATTTATTGCTATAATGTACATTTTCAAAGAAACACCCTTATCTTTTTTATTTTCAGCCAAGATTTTAACTATATGAACTCTTTAAAAAACTCTTTTAATTTTATTTGATCTTGTAAGACTATTTCTTGGTGTGAGTCTTATAAACGTGCATAATATACTGTGATTAAAGTCTGCTTTCTCTGCATAATAAAAACACTATCAAAAACCAGGTGCATATCAGGACCGACCTGAATCTGTCTGTTCACATTTTGCTGCTGTTTCTCTTACATTTGTCTTTATTTTCTTTTTTTTGCACAGCAAGCCACAAGAGGGGATGGAGATGCCTTCCAGAAGAGACTGGGGATCAGTAGGTAGCGAGGTGCTACATTGAAGACCAGTCCAGACCCTCTCCTGCATTTCTCCAACAAAAATTCAGTAGTTTTTTAGTAGTTATTTTTTTTATTCCACTCCCTTCATTAAATGTCATTAGAAGATGCTTGCAGAAATGCATTAGGCTCTCGGATGTTGTACAGAATTAAGTACACTCACTAAAGTTAATGAACCTCATTCAGTTCATCCAACAGTTTACAGATTTAACAGAAACATGTCTAAATCTGTGTCATATATGTCAGTAAGTGTGGAAAGACTTTCTTAATGGCTAATTTATTTGTAAATAAGGTCATTTGCTGTCTGAAAGTGTTCATTAAACCATCTTAAACATCAGCTAAACTGTGTTATCTTTATTGAGCAGAGGACTGCTGCACAATCATTCATTCATTTTCTTCTCGGCTTTACTAATCCGAGGTCGCCACAGCGGAATGAACCGCCAACTTATCCAGCACATGTTTTACGCAGCGAATGCCCTTCCAGCCGCAACCCATCTCTGGGAAACATTCACACACACTCATTAACATTCAAAAATTACGGACAATTTAGCCTACCAAATTAACCTGTACCACATGTCTTTGGACTGTGGGGGAAACCGGAGCACCCGGAGGAAACCGATTTGAACGCAGGGTCCTTGTAGAAAATGATGTATTTTCTTCCAAAAAGAGATGATTTTGTCACAATACCAGAAACAGTGAAGGAATGTTCCTTTGCCTTTTTTGCAGTTAGAGATTCAAGTTTTTAAAGTCAAGTTCAATTGGAGTCCACCATAATCATATTAACCAAGTCTGTGCAATTAATCAATATTCAGTTTCGATTTTGGCTTTCATGAATATGAAAAAAAAAATAAAAATCAGAATAAAACGCTTACATTGCGTCATGTGCCTCTATAAATTCTACGATCTGTATTTTTTATTTCATAAATTGAGGTTTTAGTTATGATACTCCCAAAATAATTTCGCAGAAATCCGCAGACTTTTACCAAAAGATTTTTCCGCAGAAATAGCAAAAAACATCCGCAGATTCTGTCTGGCCCTATGAGCTTGACTCACGGCACATTGGATGGATGCTTAAGGCTATTTAACGGATTGTATTTGAGTTACATTACAACATCAACGCTGTAAAAGGAACCGGATGAAACTGAAAATAGAAAAGCTTTCATCAGAAATTCATCATTGGCTGAAAAACAGTAGCTGTGCAGACCATATAGCCCATTATTTAATTAATTAATTAATTTATTTATTTCTTAACTAATTAAATTATTTTTGTCATTTGATGCAAAGATGATATAATAGATTAAAAATATATAAGTTAATATTTAAAAATATAAATATTAATATTTTAATAATATATATGTTTAAGGATTTAAAAATGTGATGACCAATGACAGTGGTCAAAGGGTCCGTTGGTTCGTTACGACCTGTTTACGTAACTATAGCAACCGCGCCGCCTGTTGATGATTTTGTTGCCAGAACCCACAGTGAAACGATCAGAAAAGGCACTTAGGTAAGGGTGGGGACGGTTAATAGGTTTGTTTGCTCTTAATTAAATGAAATCTCTTACCTCAGGGATTTTTCCCCGCAGGTATATCCTAACATTAAATTACTTGAGCACTTTCAGGCAACCGGCACAGACGCAACGGCTGCAGGATGCATTTTTAAAATCGCGTCATACGCAAAACGCAAGATTCACAGGTTATACATTTATTCAGCTCCACTCTGAAGATGTTAAGGCATGTTTAGTTCTATCTATTGGTAATTTATCATGTTTATTGTGAACTTTTATGCGCATGTTTCAACATAGAGTGCTGAGTCGTGTCGGATCACTCAGCTCACCTGAGGAGATTTCTCGACATGGAAGACCGACGGATAACAGATTAACCTGCTGCTGCATTTCCTCAACAAGGTAGGACAGTAAATATGAAAGAAATGTGGATAATGTAACAAGATTGTCAGGGCATGTCAGCAACTAGGCAACAGAACAGTCCGTTGACGATAAAGTATTATGTCCCAAGTCTAGTATGTACACTTTTGTTACACACTTTCTTCACAAAAAGTAATACTTTTAGGACGTGGAAACTGGGACACATCTCTTTTCTAGAGCCAAAGGCACCTCACAAAACTTTATTTGATCATTCTAGCAGTTTTTATCGAGTACAATATAAATATGGTAGAGTACAGTATCTCAACACAACCATATTACTGCAATCAATGCAATATCTCAAACATTTAACCCATGGGTTGGGCCTATACATACATTACCTTTTGTAATGTATGTATAGCTTTAGTAACTGTGATGACATTGAGAGGTAAGGGGTTAATGCGACCCATGATGCTTTACGAGTTCTACACATGTTTCCAGCTAGAATAAAGGTGATCCTGTTGCTCAAGTGTGTTCATTAAACTATTACATCTTTCTAACTTTTATCTAATGTTTACTTTGCAAATCTATTTACAGGGTGGGCTATTTATATGGGTAAACCTTAATAAAATGGGAATGGTTAGTGATATTAACGTCATGTTTGTGGCACATTAGTATATGTGAGGAGGCAAACTTTTTTAGATGGGTGGTGATCATGGTGGTTATTTTGAAGTCGGCCTACTTGGATCCAACTTTTGTTTTTTCAATAGGATTGGAAAAATTGGAATTGGAAAACGATGATGTGCCTGGTTTTACCGCAACTTTATTCTTTCATGAGTTATTTACAAGTTTCTGACCACTTATCAAATGTGTTCAGTGTGCTGCCCATTGTGTTGGATTGTCAATGCAACCCTCTTCTCCCGCTCTTCACACACTGATAGCAACACTGCAGGAGAAATGCCAGCACAGGCTTACAGTATCTGTAGTTTCAGGTGCTGCACATCTTGTATCTCGCAATACACACAAGTACTATTAAAACAATACATTTCTAAGAGTTTGTAAAACACACAAGAGTCTCACAATCCATTCAAATATAATATGCTGATGTGTTTTATTCATATCAGATACACATTACACAGTGAAAGTAACTAAAGTTGAATCTACTCTTCTCTAAGTTCACCAGCCACTTACTTGCATGTATATGGGGAGTAACTGGTGAATTTATGTGCTGAATCCTGCGTGTTCTGCTTTTTATGAATGAGGCATGCGTGTGGCTTCAAGTAAACATGGCGACGACCATCTCACGTTAGATCGCAATCATTTACATGTTTTTGTGAACTAGTAAAACTTCTGTGTTAGATTATATCTCATTAAGATAATTTTTCTTACCCAATTCACAATTAATTTAGCCTGTTTTAATCAAACAATCACTTAATTTTGAGGTGTTTTTTTTTAAACGACACAATTTCTTATGCTATTTCATGTGTCTAGTATGTGTCTTGATTTAAAAATATTTAGATTTTTGGATTGAAAACAGGACAAAGTACTTAGTTTATTATTATTATTATTATTATTATTAATATTAATATTATTATAACAGCTCAGGGATGAGCTTTTTTGAATAAACAGTTTTTCTTTTTTATCTGATTCATCGATTAATTGGAAAAAGAATCAACAGATTAACCGATTAGTAAAATGATCATTAGTTGCAGCCCTACTTTAAATCATATTAACTGATGCAGTGTAACTTTCAAAATGATAACTTATTGCAGTAAAAACGTAACAGTGAACAGTGGAGTTTAATGCTAAATACACTAGCCAAGCACTTGATTTGCTCACCAAAGTCTCTGCATTTATCCATCAGGTGACAGTATGTACATTTCAACTAAATCTGATTATTTACAAGATTTAATTGAAATGTTTAGCTTTTAACTATAAAGCAAAAGGTTACAATATGTTTGAAATGACAATCTTGAAATCATCCCTATCATTCTTCCACTCTTCTTAGATGCGATGGCGGGCCAAATCAATGGTTACCATGCGCCAACATTGGCCCGCTCGCCGTTAGTTTGGGCATCTCTGATCAAGATTGTATTCTACTCAGCAAAATAATTACAATTTAACATGACTGAGAAAACATAACTAATAAAATCAAGCAAATATGCACAGCCAACAAATTCAATCTCTTACATTGGTATTTTCATTTAATCAGTTTCTTTCTCTTGTGCCTTTTCAAGTGTTTCTTAAGCTGCACAGACTGTCTGAAACTCTTCGGACACTGATCACATCTGTACCGTTTCTCTCCAGTGTGGATCCTCTCATGTCTTTTCAGGTTTCCTAACAGACTGAATGTCTTGTTGCAGTATGAACACATGTACGGTTTCTCTCCAGTGTGAATCCTCTGGTGCTCCTTCAGATTTCTAGCTGTAATAAAAGTCTTCTCACACTCAGAGCACACATACTCTCTCACACCAGTGTGGATCTTCTGATGTGTGTTAAAACTTGACAGATATGCAAATTTCTTTCTACACACTGAACAGGAATAAGGTTTCTTCTTTGTGTGAACTGTAAGATGGCTCTTCAGCTCTGATGCCCTCAAAAATATTTTGCTGCATTGATCACATTCGTGTGTTTTCTCTCCATTGTGGATCAACATGTGTCGATTAAGACTTGATGAACAGCTGAAACTCGTCCCGCACTGAACACATGTGTACGGTTTCTCTCCAGTGTGAATCCTCTCATGTTTTTTCAGATCTCCTGCCCGACTGAATGTCTTGTCGCAGTGTAAACACATGTACGGTTTCTCTCCAGTGTGAATCATCTGGTGCTGTTTCAGTTCTCCAGCTGTAATAAAAGTCTTCTCACACTCAAAGCACATAAACTCTCTCACACCAGTGTGGATCTTCTGATGTGCTTTTAAATTAAGTTGACGTGCAAATCTCTTTCCACACAATGAACATGAATAAGGTTTCTCCTTTGTGTGAACTGTAAGATGGTTCTTCAGCTCTGATGCCCTCAAAAATCTTCTGCTGCATTGATCACATTTGTGTGTTTTCTCTCCAGTGTGGATCAACATGTGTAGATTAAGGTGTGATGAACGCCTGAAACTCGTCCCGCACTGCACACATGTGAACGGTTTCTCTCCAGTGTGGATCCTCTCATGTGCTTTCAGATCTCCTGATTGACTGAATCTCTTGTTGCAGTGTAAACACATGTACGGTTTCTCTCCAGTGTGAATCCTCTGGTGCTGTTTCAGATGTTCAGCTCTAATAAAAGTCTTCTTACACTCAAAGCACATAAACTCTCTCACACCAGTGTGGATCTTCTGATGTGCTTTTAAACTTTGCTGATATTTAAATCTCTTCCCACACAATGAACATGAATAAGGTTTCTCCTTTGTGTGAACTGTAAGATGGACCTTGAGCTCTGGAGCACTCAAAAATGTTTTGCTGCATTGATCACATTCGTGTGGTTTCTCTCCAGTGTGGATCAACATGTGTTTATTAAGGTATGATGAACGTCTGAAACTCGTCCCGCACTGAACACATGTGAACGGTTTCTCTCCAGTGTGGATCGTCATGTGATTCCTGAGACTCTGTTTGCATCCCAGACTCTGTCCACACTGAGTGCAGGTCAAACATGTTTTGTCTTTTCTCTTCAGTAAGCCAGTTTTCTCTTTTGTTTTGACATGATGGCGTGTCTCCTCCATTATACCTGAAGTAAAAGTAAGAAAGCTGCAGTTTAAATCATGATAATTTTGATGGTATTTTATGCAGGTTGTTCATAAGTATGATCAGTAGGTCGTGTGCATGAATTCGGGCACTGTTAACGGCACTGATGAGCTTGGTTCACTACGCATTGAGACACACCGAGTAGAGACCGTCCTGATTGTAAATAAAAACTCTTAATTTGCAAGCAATCATTTTCAGATATAAATTGTAAAGTTTTAAAGAGAACATTATAGCTAAATAATTTGATTGTGTCATATAGCGATAACATATCAACCATTAAACAATTATAAATGTCTTGATTTTTCCAAGCCTATATAGCTGTTCATTTCGGCTCATTCATGTTAAAAAGAGTTTAGAAAGCATCTTTTGTTTTTTATTACGTTTGATGATTTGAGCCACGTGATTATTTTGGTAATTGAATACAATCCTATCTAAAGTCCAGCCCACACTATGGCTGCTTCCGAAACCGCCTACTACTCAGTAGGTACTGCATTTGAATTTAAACATACTACTCGGCCGTTAGAAAAGTACGTTCTATACAGTATGAATTTGAAAAGTATGAATGGAATTCGGATGTACTACATCCGCCATTTTGTCATGGTCACATGACCTACCTGCGTCAGTGGCGTCGATTCACTTCCATTCATGAATTCTCTCGCGGGGCATTATGGAATAGCGCAGCGTGCATGGGATGCGCATTCCAGAATCTCGCCGGAAGTAAGTCATCTGGGTACTCATCCCATATTGATTTTCGAATTCTAGGAATTCGGACACTACTCGTCTCGCATACTGATTTTAGTGTACTGTATAGTATGGAAGTATGCAGTTTCGGACGCAGCTTATGTGATTTTTAATCAGGGTGTCTGAGGAGTCTTAAAAACTCTTAAATCTACTGAAATATTGTGTTGTAAGTCTTAAAACCTTTCCTTTACTCATGTATATGAGCAATTCCAGCGTTATGGATGCGACATTTGCAGTAAAAACTCAACACATAAATTGACAGAGAAAGTATATGTTAACATTATATTGAAAAATGTAATTATATTTTCTAGAGCAACTAGGCACAGAGTTATGGGAGCAGAAGAATATCAATCTGTAAACGTGTTTTGTAGTTTAAATGAGGAAAATAAACATGCGTTATGGATGTGACAAAAAAAGTCTGCGAGTTTACAGTATACAGCACACTTTGTAGAAATTATGTGAATTAAACTGCACAACCCAAAAGAAATAATGCTAATCAAAAGGATTAGAGTCGGCTCTCTATAAAACAAAAATGCTTGGTTTTATTTTATTTAATATTTTCACATTTCTGAGGTAAAAGTGTCGTTATGGATGTGACATCTCTCTGTTATGGATGTGATGCATGTGAAATTACCATTTGTGTGACTTTGGTAAATCGAATAGAATAGTTTGAAAACATTGACAGATGCATTTTTGAGTATTTTTAAAGTACTGTAAAATACTTTTGTAAAAACCCAGAAATGGTTTCCGTATTTTGGTAAAAACTTAACTTTTTTTCATGGCAAGGTTGACATTTGCATGGAATTGCTCATATCTAACTGGCAACACCCATACAATCACCAACAGTCCATCTCAATAAAACTTTATGAAATGTTTTTATTTCTTTTACCATAATGGTTTAATTACTTTCCTTACAGCAACATTTGTTTAAGAGTTCTCCATATATTTACTGCTTAGGACTGACCCGAGCTATATTTGTTATTCATATATTCACTCCTTCTTTCATTGTTTCATTTCATTACATTCTTCATCTTATTCCCTTATTTATCAGTGGTCACTACAGCAGAATAATCTGGCAACTATTCGTGCATATGTTTTACACAGCGGATGCCCTTTCAGCCGCAACCCAGTACCCATACACTCTCATACACACACACACACTCGTACAATACAGCAAATTTAGTTAATCCAATTCACCTTTAACGCATGTTTTTGGACTGTGGGGGAAACCCGAGTATCTGGAGGAAACCCACACCAACACTAGAGGAACATACAAACTCCACACAGAAATGCCGACAGCCGGGACTCGAACCAGCGACCTTCTTGCTGTGAGGCCACAGTGCTAACCACTGTGCCACCTCTATTTGTTATCATTAAATTATTATTAATATCATCATATTATTAAATGTATTCAATTACAAACATTTTTTTAGGGGGGCAAGTGAAAATCTACTTGCTAGAATGCTACTTTTCCTACTTTGGTAGTCAATGGTTACCGGTTTCTAACATTTTTACAACTACTTTTGTGTTCAACAGAAAAAAGAAATTCATAAAGGTTTAAAACAGTTAGAGATTGAATAAATAGTGAGCACATTTTCATTTTTTAAACTATACTTTATATCTCTTAAACATTTGCAAACATACTGTGGTATTTTGTGCTTTATAGAGTCAGAAATGAACATACAGCACACTTAAGTAAACTTTAAAGACTAACCACATTCAAACTTGAAAAGGAATGTGCTGCTAACTAAAATATGACACACAACACAGAAAGAATACATTTAAAAATACACATAATATCGTGACAGAACATGAGCTAATAGTGAAGGAAAGCAACATACCTGTATATAGCTGAAACAGATGAAGAATAAAGGCGAGAAGTCAAGAGATGCAGTCGGATCTTTCCAGTCTGATTTGGTGTGTGTGTGTTGTTCATCTTAAAACATTCACACAAACACACAGAATGAATTGTTGTTTCAAGGTCAAATGGCTCATATCAGACAGATAATGAGCAGAGATTCTTAGTGAGGGAGTGAGAAAGAATTTCAGACAATCTTCAGCTTAAAGGGACAGTTCACCCCAAAATTCAACACTTACTCACACTCAAGAGGTTATAATTTCTTTATTAATTTCTTTATTCTGTTGAACACAAGAGAAGATATTTAGAAGGAAACTATAAGCGTGTAACTATTAACTTAAACAGTAGCCAAAATGCTGACATGTTTTCAGCTTCCTTTAAAATATTTTCGTTTATGTTTGACAGAAAAAAAGAAAGTCATAAAGGCTTTGAACAAGTAAAGGATGTGAACAACAGATTCTTTTCTTTTTCACGCAAGACTAGTTAGTTTTGTATGTTGTTTTCCCTTATTTACAAGAACCCTCATTTCACCACAATGTGTTGTTGTGTGCTGTCTTTGAGTAATATTTAAATTTGTTTGGTGATCTAAAACATTAAGGTGTGACAAACAAAATAAGAAATCAGTAAGTTTATTTAGAGCACATTTCATACACAATGGTAATTCAAAGTTCTTTACTTAAACAACAATAAAAGAAACATAAAACACAACAAGTATAAGAAATAAAACTAGCAAAGAATAAAAATGATTAAAACATTTAAAATATTTTTAGAAATGGTTTAAAGGGAATGAAATAAACAAATACACAAATACTGTGATCAGTCAGATGTAGCCCAGTGCTCATTCAGTAAAGGCACAGCTAAACAGACGTGTTTTCAGTCTTGATTTGAATGTGCCTAATGTTGAAGCACATCTGATCATTTCTGCAAGCTGATTGGTGGAGTAGTTGCTGAAACCTGATTCTCTCTGTTTTGACCGAACTCTTGGAATTTCTCATTTGCTTGATCCTAATGATCTTAGCGATCTGTTATGTCTGTGATGTAGTTTTTTATAAACAAGTAATAATGCTTTAAAATCAATTATGAATGTGACTGGGAGCCATTGTAAAGACCTGAGGACTGGTGTGATGTGCTCTGATCTTCTGGATGAGCTGCAACTCTCAGTGTTTTTGGGAAGCCCATTGAGGAGGCCGTCACAGTAATCCACCCTGCTGGTGATAAAAGCATGAAAAGGTTTCTCTAAGTCCTCACTGCAAACAAAGCATCTAATTCTTGTAATGTTTTTAAGATGACAGTGTCCTGATTTACTAACTGCTTTGACATGATTACTGAAACTCAGATCTAACTCCAGAGTCACACCAAAATTCTTGACCTTATTTTAGTTGGTTGACCCCTAGAGCGAAGGTGCATTTACCTTGAGAACCTCATCTCTGTTCCCAAGTGCAATGACTTCAGTTTTCTCTTTGTTTAACCGAAGAAAGTTTTGGCACATCCAACTGTTCATTTCATCATTGTGTAGCTGTTTAATCGTGATTATTGATAATCGTATATTTTTTGTAATAATCGAATAATCAACATTATTAATTGTGATTAACTTTTTGAGCAAAATAATCGTGATTAGCATTTTTTCCGTTTTTGTGCAGCCCTAATGTATATATTTATATATTTGCAGATTTATATCGAAATACCGGAAATGGGTTAAAAAAATCATAACACCGTTATTGAAATAAAATCTATCGCGTAGATAGAGTGATATTGAATTATTGTCCAGCCCTACATAGACGTCTTTAAACAAAGCAGCAAAGAATGAACTCTAAGATGGTTCTTCAGCTCTGGAATCCTCAAAATGTTTTGAAACATCATGTATGTTTCTCTCCAGTGTGAATCCTCTCGTGCCGTTTCAGTTGTCCAGCTGTAATAAAAGTCTTCTTACACTCAAAGCACATATACTCTCTCACACCAGTGTGGATCTTCTGATGTTTTTTTAAAGTGATCTGATATTTAAATCTCTTTCCACACAAAGAACATGAATAAGGTTTCTCCTTTGTGTGAACTCTAAGATGGTTCTTCAGATTTGAAGCCCTCAAAAATTTTTTGCTGCATTGATCACATTTGTGTGTTTTCTCTCCAGTGTGGATCAACATGTGTAGATTAAGGTGTGCTGATTTTTTGAAACTCTTCCCGCACTGAACACATGTGAACGGTTTCTCTCCAGTGTGAATCATCATATGATAATTAAGGTGTGATGAACGTCTGAAACTCGTCCCGCACTGAGCACATGTGAACCGTTTCTCCCCAGTGTGGATCTTCATGTGTTCATTAAGGTTTGATGATTGTCTGAAACTCGTCCCGCACTGAACACATGTGAACGGTTTCTCTCCAGTGTGAATCCTCATATGATAATTAAGGTGTGATGAACGTCTGAAACTCGTCCCGCACTGAGCACATGTGAACGGTTTCTTCCCAGTGTGGATCTTCATGTGTTGATTAAGGCCTGATGATTGTCTGAAACTCGTCCCGCACTGAGCACATGTGAACGGTTTCTCTTCAGTGTGAATCCTCATGTGTTCATGAAGGTTTGATGATTGTCTGAAACTCGTCCCGCACTGAGCACATGTAAACGGTTTCTCTCCTGTGTGGATCTTCATGTGTTCATTAAGGACTGATGATTGTCTGAAACTCGTCCCGCACTGAGCACATGTGAACGGTTTCTCTCCAGTGTGGATCTTCATGTGTTGATTAAGGGATGATGAATGTCTGAAACTCTTCCCGCACTGAACACATGTGAACGGTTTCTCTCCAGTGTGATTCATCATATGATAATTAAGGCCTGATGAATGTCTGAAACTCTTCCCGCACTGAGCACATGTGAACGGTTTCTCTCCAGTGTGGATCATCATGTGATTCCTGAGACTCTGTTTGCAGCTCAGACTCTTTCCACACTGAGTGCAGGTCAAACATGTTTTGTTTTTTCTCTTCAGTGAGCCAGGTTTCTGTCTTGTTTTGACATTACAGCTTGTCTCCTCCATCAGACCTGAAATAAAAGAAAACTGCATTTTAAATCAATTATCATTAAATCGTGATCAATTTCAGGGTATCTTATGAGTGTCGTTCAGGTATCAGTATGATCAGTAGGTCGTGTACGTGAATTCGGGCACTGATGAGTTTGGTTCACTGCACATTGAGACACACTGAGCATGACTAGAGACTGTCTACCTTGTACATCATAAAAACTGATATTTACAAACAACAGCAGAGCTAATAATTTATAAAAACAGTTTTTAAGAGAACATTATAGCTAAATAATTTGATTGTGTCATATAGCGATAACATTTCAACCATTAAACAACTATAAATGTCTAGATTATTCCAACCCTATATAGCTGTGTTCATTCAGTTCAATCATGTTAAAAAGAGTGTAGAAAGCATCTTTCGTTTGGTATTACGTTTGATGATTTGAGTCACGTGATTCTCTTGGAAATTGACTATAACCCTACCTCCTTGCTGTACCAATGCAGCAGCTGCTTCACGTAAAAGCTGATTAACAGTTTTTGCCATTTTACAACTGTTATACTGTATTTAGTCTAGTAACTCACGCTGTCCCATCCATCAAAACCATGCTTCACGCCCCTCCCACTGATTAGCATAAGCTTTGCATACAGCTTTAAGTTGAAAATGAAATCGAAAATGAAAAAGTGTCAATAAATGCAAAGCTTAAATTTGCATTTTCATTTGAATTGTGTCACTATTAAAGCTTGAACATTAATAACACGCTTTGTAAAAATTGTGTTTGCATTTTATTTTTCAGTTTGGCTTTTCATTTTAATATTGGCAGTCTTGACGTGGAAATGCAGTGAAAATGAAATGTTAAATTGGCAACTTCATTTTAATTATCAATTTGACTCGGACGATGTGTTGTCAAAGTGAAAATGAAAATTAAATTATTTCATTTCGTTTTCAATTTTGGCAGATATTTTGTGAACAGTGTTTTAAAATGAAATTGTTAATCTGATTTTTATTTTCACTTCCAATGTTTATTTGATTTATTTAAAACTGGCAGGATTTACCTTCCATATAAATATACCTGACTCCCTGATCAGTACACTTGTTACTTAACAAGGGTGCTGATTGAGATATACAGCCAGCCAGTGCTTCCCACACATAGGCTTTACTTGGGGCGGCCTACCCAGCTATATTAACAGCCGCCCAAGTATATTAAGGGACACTTTTTTTTCCACTGTGTTTAACATCCTTTTACATGTTTTTGTATCCACCCAAAATAACCAAACATCTGTGATCGATTAAGTAGTGGAAAAATCTTTCTCATGTACCCGTTTCGTTCTGTGTGTGCAAGACCTGTCAACACGGACAGTCTGATGTGCTCTGCAGACCCACACACACATGCCTTTTTGGGACTTAAATAGTTTGTCTGGCCGGTTTCTAAATCTCCTAAAATGTCCGGGATTCAACTTTTGCTTTCACTTTCTTAAGCTTGTATGCGTTTTTGCATTACCTGTTCACTACTTCCGCTTGACTTCGCAGCTAACTGCGCACACACAGTCACTCTCACGAGAGAAACATTAAATAATTAATTTTTTAATCTAAACGACTCAAAAAAACTTTACTATACACTTGAAGAAGACAAAATGATTGGTCTACACTGGCTGCAAAATATATGTACACCATTCATTTAATTCATTTTTATTTGTATAGCGCTTTTACAATGTAGATTGTGTCAAAGCAGCTTCACATTGAAACAGAATTAAAACAGTGTCAGTCCAGCTTTCAGAGTTAGTAATGGTTAATCTATGCCATCTGACCCAGCCGAGGCTCGAACCAGTAATCTTCTTGCTGTGAGACGACAGCACTACCTACTGCGCCACTGATGTTAATATATTACATAGGCTATTTTATATACTCATCTAAAATGTTTTAAGTTCAAGTGCTTCAAGTTGGCTTTAAACTTAAAAAAGATAGAAGCAGGTTTCACCTGCCAGTGGGTGTGCATAGTTCTTGAATAGCATAAAAGTTGAAATTGTGGATTTCTTTTTTATTTCAGCAGTGTTTTTTTTTTTTTTTTACTTTAACCCATTGCACTGGAAGATTTTTTGCAATTGAGACTGCGCTGAATATAGTTTTTGCTAATTTAAGGACGGGAAATCTGCCCTGCGCCGTGGCGCATGGTCTAAAAGGGTTGAGTTTATTTTCTTAATGAGGTATAGGTGTGTTTTGAGAATAAACCAATTAAAGTC